ATCAACTGATCAATGATTCAGTAACCCTTTCATAAAGACAGTAATCACTTGCCACGTTTCTGAATGAATCAGCCGTTTGAACGAATGACTAATGACTCGCTCATTAAAACAGTCATTTACCGTCATCTATCGGTGGTTTGGTTTCATATTTAAACGTATTGCATTTTTCCCAACATTTTTAACTTGTATGTTCAAAAATATTTAAAACATTAATCTTAATAAATAATAACATTTATATTATATTATATTAATAAATAATACATTTATTATTATTATTATTATTATTATTATTATTATAAATTTTTATTAATAAATAATACAATTATTTATGCATTTGAAATGTTGTGGTGTAAATGCATTTATGGCAGCTCAGCTTCATCAAACAGTCTGTGTAAATGCATCTAATGTCACTTCAGATGCAGTTTGGAGTTTGTTGATAGTATGCACACTGTAATCGGTGGTTTGGTTTCATATTTAAACGTATTGCATTTTTCCCAACATTTTTAACTTGTATGTTCAAAAATATTCAAAAAGTCTGTGTAAATGCATCTAATGTCACTTCAGATGCAGTTTGGAGTTTGTTGATAGTATGCACACTGTAATGTGAACATTAAAATTAGCAAAAATAAATTACTCCACTGCTCACAAAGAGAAGTATGAACACCGATGACAAGAGAGTTGCACTGTCCCAAAAATGTTGTGGTATAAATGTGCTTTTTTTTTTTTTACTTGAAGCATATGTTGGTCTTTTCCCTTTATTTTGTTGTCAGATTGAACCAGAACGCGAAGAAATTGTTGAATACAATTGTTATTTTTGTTTTCTTTGCACACAAAAGTATTCTCGTAGCTTCATAAAATTAAGGTTGAACCACTAATTAATGACATAATTTTCATTTTTGGGTGAACTGTCCTTTTAAATACACATTTTTACCATTTTCCATTCACAATTTTTCTATAACACTAAATGTCTCTCTGATGGAACAAGTGTTGCATAGCTCTTGGTCCCGCATTGTCCTTTGCATGTATTTGCTTGGTTCAGAAAATATTGGATAATGTCAGACCAAGACTTCCCATGTCAGGGGAAAGTTTGGGGTCTGTTCCTATTTCTGGGGTTTGATATTTTATTCTGGAGGTTACGGTCGACTCCACTCACTTTTTTAACTCTCAGCGCACACACTTACACCTGAGCAGGTTTGACCTGGGACCAGTCAATTCCAACCTCAGGCTCTGGATAAATGACAGAGAAGGCTCTTTGTCTATGCTCCTATGCTCTTTTTAAAGCAGCCGTCAGTAACCTCTGACCCATGACTCTGCCAGTTGCTGATGTGCTCTCCTTTTTGCCCAAGTGTGTCTTCAAGATAAGGAAGGGATTGGGTTAGAAATTCGGCTCAAGCAGAGAGAGACTGGAAACCCTCTCACACACATAAACATCAGTTAACTTTTTTAGTTCTTGTCCACAGACCTTCAGAATCAGCGAGGGAAGTTCATCACGTCCTTCAGGCTGTATTAGCCAGCCTTGACTATTAACTCACAGCTGAAGAGAGGTTCAGAATGATAAGAAACCGTAGAAACGCGAAATTACCAAAAACCTAATAGAGGCTATGAGAAATACAGAATTACGGATTCAAACAACCTCAGAAGCGTGACTTATGAAAGAGACCTGTGTGCTGAGGTAATTAGCCTCCTGATGGCAAACATCCCCTCTTATCCCTGCTTCATTAGGGCTGTAAACTCTCTCTCTTTCTCTCTCTGAGTAACCACAACCTTAATTGGCATTGTATACTGAGGTTTATGACCCGAAGCAAATCTCCATAGACTCTGCATTCATTTGGCCAATAAGATTGTCTGTGAGTGTGAGTGTGTGTGTGTGTGTGTGTGTGTGTGTGTTTGTGCACCACCATGTTAAATATCCCCAGCATCTTTCATATAATTTGTGGATGAAGGCCTTGAAAGTACAGGTATCGGATTTGAAGCAGCTTGTAATCTAATAAAAATTTCAGCAATGAATGGAGAAAGGTGTCAAGTTTTCTGGCCCCCATTTCCTCTGCAATTTAGGACCAGTTACCTCAAAGAAACGAGAAAGCAAGTAAAGGCAAAAAAAATAACCTTGGAGATGTAATTAAAATGTTCTTTTGTTGGCCAAATGGCTGAGAAGTCAAAGTGCTGTGTTTATTTGAAAATATAAACTGTTAAAATGAAGTTCAAAGAGTTTGTTCTTTTTGATTTTGTCCTAGAGTGGCGCTCAAGTAAAGTGTTTGTGGTGCAGTACCTCCTAAGGGAGGAGCTTGTGCTGAGACCATACATACAAAATAACATTTCTAATGCATCATCAGTGCATAAAAGGGCAAACTTTAGATTTGCCACAGTACAATAAATGGTAAAAGTACTGTACATTTCAGCGCTCTTGTAGCTATACTGCGTGTGTTCCTACTGCACGTATTTTGGTGATAAATGTGTACCTAGAATTGACAAAACCTTTTGAGAACACCATCATGTATGTATGAATGTATGTATATATGCATTTATTTATTTACTGACTGACTGACTGACTGACTGACTGAATGAATGAATGAATGAATACAAATTATTTATTAATTTATTTATTTACATTTTATCTGTTTCACATTCACCAAATCTCCAGAGTCTGAGACCACTCAATACTTAAATAGAGTATAACTTGAACACAGCAATGTAAAATGTGACCCATCAAATCTGCACAATTATTTTCCTGGCCGCTCTTAGAATAAAACATATTTTTGTTTCGCATTTTTACAGCAGCAACAGCACCACGGCCTTTGTGGCCTCCTATCTTGTGTGTTTCAAAGAGGGCAGACCTCATTTAGTTCTAACTTTGAAGTGTGAACAGAAAAAAGAAAGAAAACCAGGTGCAAATGAAGGGGCCCAGGGTTAGGTGTGTGGGAAGCAGAAAAAGGAAAGACGAACATCAAAGAATAAAGCCAACCTGGACCCACACATGGTACCCACTCAAGGTGAACAGCTCGCTTCTGCACAGAAACAATGGCCATTACTCACCCGGCAGCAGACACACAAAATTAGACCGTAGAGAGAAAATGAAGTTGAGGAAGGAGGAGAAAGGGAGAGCGTTTTCTGAGGTGATATATTTCAAGCCCGGCTGCTTTTGCTAAGCAGGAACAAAATGGCTAAAAGCAGTGGATAAATATTAATGTGGAATGAGGGCCCTCTAGGAGCCTATAAACACTCATTGCTCAAGCTGTGGATTAAAACGCCCATTAGCGAGGAGGCCACGGGTTCATCATTCAGCGCTTACACATGCGCTAATCATGTTACTACTGTATTCCCACCAGTTATCTTGGGGGTTTTGGCATGGTATGTTTAATGATGGCCGTTGCACAATGTGGCACATGGAAATGCAAGAGGGAGGGGAAGCAAGAGAGAGGGAGAGATGGCTTTGTTTCAACCTGAAGTCAAGCACAGGTGACAATTTTACAGGAGACTGATTCTTCACTACACTCACAGGTATTGTCATTCGAAATCTCACAAACAGAGGCCGAATCGCTTCCAGTTCAGAGAAACGCTGCAGACACTTCACTGTGTGCTGAATCAAGACGAGTTTGGGCAGATGATTATATTGATTTGTCTGTGTGAGGTCAGGACAGTGATATCTGACTTCTCATCCAATTGGTCAGGGATACACACACTGCTCTCGCAGAGTGTGTCATGGATGTATGAGTGTGTTTACCCATAAGAGCTGTTATAGTCATTTCTATTGATTGGCACTGATGCACCGTCATATTGCTATGAAGGAGGTGTTTTCTTCACGTAGGTTTCTGGAGCTTTGTGAAATGTGTTGCCATTAATTTTAATATCTCCTCTCTCTCTCTCTCTCTCTCTCTCTCTCTTTCTCTCTTTATATGTGCTGGTACCTTCATGCAATCACAAATAAGGTAAGTGCCTTAATATGTCATTATTTATTAATTGGTTTATTTGCTTATATTACCATTTCTGTTCTTATCATCATATATTTAAACCACACGGCTGCAGGCACATAGCAACAAGATTTTATATAACATTTTATACTTGTATTTAGTTTTCTCTGCCAGCACAAGTAGTTCCAAAAGAAGTGCTCCTGTGACCACACATTCTGTATGAATGTGCCAAATGGCTTGGCAATCATAAACAGCCTATAGTTATGCTAATGGAGTATGTGTGCCGGAATAGTTGTTTATACTGTTTATTATTAAAGGTGCACTACAGAATATTTTGTTAGGTTTAAAGTTCAAATGTGACAGGGTATTTCAGGTTAACATCCTTTGTCTATGTCTGTTTACATCAGACTTGTCTTCTATTCAGAATTGAATTGAAAATGGCTTCTTAAATTAAAATTCAGTTTTCATTTAATTTTAATTGATGTAGCAAACACAGTGCAGATCCACATTTAGAATTTGGAATGATGTAGACTTTAATGATGTATAATTGAAATA